CTTCATTAAACAGGGCCTATTTCTACATGATATCCACAGGGATAGTCACATGACTTTCAAGGATAAAGAGAGAATCCAATCGGCCTAATTTTATACTATTCTTCTCCCTCTTTAAAGAAAAAAGATTATTTCACCGACAAACTAGCACTGCTCAGATTCTTGAACACAAAGGAGACATGAAATAGGAACAAATTAATAATGTTCATATTCATCTGAACCACACAACAGAGGGCCAGGTGATCACCACCAAGATCTGCACACGGTGAATTGTTCCTAAGGTCTTAGCTCCACAATAGTTAAGAAAACTGTGGCTAAGATGACCTATCTCCTCCATCCTCAAAGTCAAGAAAGACTGTCCCCAACAAAAACATACTTAAAAAATACGTAGAGGTTTGTAAATACAACTGCTCTGGAGGGTGAGGCAGGAAGATCACAAGTTAAAGGGCAGCCTGGGTTACAGAAGGATTCGTGGACAGCCTGAGCAACTTAGTGAAACCCTGCCTCAAATTAAAGAGTGCCATGAGGGCTGCAGACGTGGCTCGTAGAATGCCTGTGCAGCATCTGCAAGGCCCTGGGTTCAATTTCACTTTGTGTTTTTTTTTATGGTTTATTTAACTTTATTTTATGTGCATTGGTGTGAAGGTGTCAGATCCCCTGCAACTGGATCTTCAGACAGTTGTGAGCTGCCATGTGGGTGCTGGGAATTGAACCCGGATCCTCTGGAAGAGCAGTCAGTACTCTTAACCACTGAGCCGTCTCTCCAGCCCCCTGGGTTCAATTTCAATAAATAAAAAATTCACACAGACAGAGATGCATGAGCGTGCACATGCACGCAGAAATTGTCTATGGGGCAAGAAAAGTACCCTCCCCGGAACAGTAATTCGATGGAATCTTAATCTTAGAGTTCCCAATTTCCAAATAGATATATGTATAATAAATTACTATAAAAGAAAAAAAGAAAGAAAGAAAAGTCTGTTGCCTGGACTGAAAAGAAGTGACATCTGTGGCTGGTAGGAGCCATCAGGTCTGGGCGCAAGCAGTTTTATAAACTCTCTAGTCCCATCCACTGGCTCTTAAGTGAATAACCCCACTGAAGAGTTTTAGCTGTCCCCCTGGCCCAATCTTTTCTCCATCCTTCAGCCTACTTTCCCTCGAAAGCTCAAAAGACACTCAGCGCTGCCTTCTCATGGCAAAGTCCTGGAGCAGGCACTTGTTGGCAGAAGACACAGGTCTTGAATCCTCCCTGAAGCCCTGACTAGGCTGCTCGTACTGTACAGAACCTCTGCTTCCACCCCAAGCATGCTGAAGTGCTCCCTCTTCTGGGGAATCAAATCGGTACTTGCTATCCACTCCCTGTATTCTGTGTGTTACTTCCGAGATACTGTGGTTTCCACGGAGGCCCTCCCCCGTTCTTAAGGTAAAAATCTACCTTCCCGGACTCCCTAATGCCTGTGTGGGGTCGGATGCCTCACATCCCTTTAGGTCAGCCTAAATAATTTGTTCCTAGGTAAAGGGACAAATCTGACAGCCCAGGCATGTGAGCAGGTGGCAGATAGCCTACAGTCTCCAGCCACCCCCAGTCTTACTTCTGTCTGATGCCATCATCTAAGGTTTAGGGACATCAACAGTGTCTGTCTGGAAGCCTCTAGAATGAAACAGTTGGGTCCAGGAGCCAGGCAGTAACCCAGCTCTAACAGATGATATCCAAGGAAGAAAGGACGAGTCAAAACAGAATTAGAATCTCGGACGCAGGCATTCTATGGTGGGGGAGGGGGAGTATTGTGTGGTGCGAATAGGGAGGTATTCCACAGTGAGTTCTAGTAAGTAAGCAAAAACTAGAAGATCCCTCTACATGAATTTGATAGCATAGTTGTTGGGTGTCTTTTTTCTTAGGACAATTTGTACACTGTTTTCTCAGATTCCCAACATTATACTGCAGTTTTCGATTTGGGTTTCTTATTCTTCTATTCTTCAACAATACATCGAATCCTATGCCCTTCGGTTCCTCCAGTCCTGTAACTACTAATAACAGCCTAGTGGTAGACCTTTGGCTTTTTACAAAGATGTTTCTATTTTCTGAGCCAAATTTGAAGCACACGGTTTGTAGAGTTGAGGATCAAGAAAACTAAATGTTTGAAACTGAAGTGTCTCATGATCCAGGGTGTTCAACTGGTGTGAGCGCCGCCTTCTTGAAAAGCCACCACCCACTTGTAATCCTAGGACTCGGGAGGCTGGGGCGGGAAGTTAGAAAAAGCTTGGATTACAAGTGGAACTAACTGTATGAAGAAGACGTTCTCGCTATAATCCCCAAACGGTCCAGTCTCAACAGCTCTGCAGTTCGTGGAAGCCACAGCCTTTTCCATTTGCTGAAAAACCTTACTAAATTAAAAAATATTTATTTATTTGATCTATCTATCTATCTATCTATCTATCCATCTATCTATTTGCTTATTCATTTATTTTCGAGGCAGGGTAAGCTATGTAGCCCTGGATGGCTAGGAACTCAACAGAGATCTGCCTGCCTCTACCTCCTGAGTACTGAGATTAAAGACCTGTACCTTTTAAATATATATATATATCTTTAATAGTTTTAAAAGGGTTTATGTAGTTTTATTTTATGTGTATGATATTTGTCTGAATGACTTGTATTTGTATGACTTGCAGCTGAGTGCATGCCTGGTGCTCCCAGAAGCCAGAAGAGGGAGTCAGAACCTCTGAAACTGGAGAGTTGCAGTCAGTTGTGAGTTGTCATGTGGGTGCTGAGACCCAAACCTGGGTCCTCTGCAAGAATGGGTCCTCAAGCAGTCTTAGCCACTGAGTCATCTCTCCAGTCCCTTTTTAATTTTTTGAGACATTCTGGCTATGTAGCCCTAAGCTCAAACCTTAGATCTTCTTGCCTTTTTCTCTTGAGTGCCACAATCCCTGTCTTAAAATTACTATAAAGTTTTTCATTAAATTACCTTTTAAAGTTATTAAATTAAAGGGCTGGAGAGATGGCTCAGTGGTTAAAAGCACTGACTGCTCTTCCAGAGGACTCAGGTTCAATTCCCAGCACCCACATGGCAGTTCACAAGTGTTAACCCTAAGATCTGGCATCCTCACCCAGACATGCATGTAGGCAAAATACCAATGCAAATGAAATAAAATAAATAAACTTTAAAAAGTTATTGAATTAATATATTAGATGCCTAAAACATGTAGCAAGGTGGGAAGTATAGATGAGGCAACCAGACTAAGTGAATTCTGGGAAGAGAAAAGGCAGAGTCAGTCACCAGTCGGACACAGAGGAAGCAAGATGAGAATGCCTTACTGAGAAAAGGTACCAAGCCACCTGCCTAAACATAGACAAGAATTATGGGTTAATTTAAGTTCTAAGAGCTAGTTAACAATAATCCTGAGCTAATAGGACAGTCTATAATTAATAAAAGCCTCTCTGTGTTTCTTTGAAACTGAACAGTTGAGGGTCCAAGTGGGAAAGAAATGTCCATTTACACTAAAAAGTCAGAGTAATCAAAGTTTGGAGAGGAAAAGAAATGGGGATAAAAAACGGGTTCAGGAGGGTGAAAACAACTAAAATTCAGTGTGTGCATAACAGTTGACAACAACAAAAACCACATAAAACAAACAAAAAGTCCAGGCTATATAAAATAAAATATATAGCAGCAATCACTCTTCCTACTCTTTCCCTGTAACTAAGTTCTCCAAGCCAGAAGAGGCCAATATTGTTTCTAGTACATTCCTGCCCCTGGCAAAGTCTCGTGTGAGAATACACGTGTACACACACACACACACACACACACACAAACACACATAAATACACCTGGCAAAGTCTCATGTGAGCATACATGTGTATACACACACACACACAAATACGCCTGGCAAATTCTCATGTGAGCATACACTTGTACACACACATACAAACACACACACTTTATTTTTTTGTTTCTCAGTTTAAAGCTGCTCAGAAAACTGCTCAGGTCAGCTTTGACCCTATCAGTTGTGGAGATCCTTCTGCCTAAGCCTCTGAACTTCTAGGGTTATAAGCACGTGTTAAACTCCCTGGCTTTTTAAATGTATTTTATGCAACAGAGAGCAAACCAACTATATCCACTACTTTAAAAAAAAAAAACTTAAGGTTTTTTTTGGCTATAAATTTAATGTTATAATATTTCTGTTACTATAAATAGTGCTATAAAGATCATTTGCAATATCTTGGTTTTATTTTTTTTAACTAGACTCTTACAAGACTTTGCACTATTTTTTTTCTTTTTCTTATGTTTTTTTGGAGACAGGGCTTTGGAGCCTTTCCTGGAACTCACTTTGAAGACATGGAGGTCTGCCTGTCTCTGCCTCCCGAGTGCTGGGATTAAAGGCGTGCGCCACCACCGCCCGGCTAAGGCTTTTCATCCTTTTATAAAACTGGGAATACTCCCAGGATACCTTATTGTGCTATTATTCGCTACTCACCATATAAGAAAGAGCTGAATTTGTGGTCAAATCCTGAGTTTGAATCTTGGTTCGATCTCTAAAGCAAAACTCGCCGGTTTCATAAGAAAACCTTTACGTTCTTTTCACTTTGCATAATATCGAATACCCATCATGCACTCTTTACCGCCAATACTTTGAAATAGGGCGGGAAACCGGATGTAAAAGTGGGGCTCGGAAAAAGATCTAACTTCTTCCCTAGGATATAGAAGGTAGAGAATCCTGGAGCCCTTGTTTCTCCAGGAACTACAAAACTAGTGCCTTTGAAATGGATATGCGATTTGATATTAAAGATAGAACTGGATGCATCAACATTTAAACCCACACTCATCCCCACCTCCTAACGTGTCTGGCACAAAGTGGACACTTCCATAGATCTTAATAATTTTGCAAGATTGTAGCTAACTGGAGTCAAAGGCCAAATCCTGCTCTACTATGCCCCCTTCTGGTCGCCTCGATATAAGTGGAGAAATGGACTACATTTCCCGGCATGCTTTATAGAGACTTCCGGCGACACTAGAAGGAAGTTGGCAAGCTCGTTTGAGGAGCCGCACTCCTGGCAAAGGCGACTGATTGCAGACAAGTTGGCGTTTTCCTGCTGAAGTGCAGTCATGTTTCTCCAGTATTACCTGAACGAACAGGGAGATCGCGTCTATACGTTAAAGGTAAGGGGAGGAAACAGCGGTAAAGCGGGAGGACGAGAAATTTAGGTGGGAGGAGCTGTGGAACCGGTCTCGGCTTCCCGGTGCTTGGAGCCACGTCGGTGCTGAAACGTGGTAGATTTGGGCAGTGCACGGCTTCTCGTTCTGACCATCGCCTCTCCTCTCTTCATGTTTCCCATTTTCCCGTTGCCCCCTTGATATCACACCAGTCATATATCGAGATCATTTTCTCTTTTCCTTGAGCAGAAATTTGACCCGATGGGACAACAGACTTGCTCTGCCCATCCTGCTCGCTTTTCCCCTGACGACAAATACTCAAGACACCGAATCACCATCAAGAAACGCTTCAAGGTGCTCATGACCCAGCAACCGCGTCCTGTTCTCTGAGAGTTCGTTAATTTCCTGTGCTGCCCGCCCGCAGGCTGATTATCAGTAACCAAATGCATCAATCCGTGAGCAGGGACGCCTTCCCGCACTGTTTGGAATCCTATCTCACCACGTGACTGAGTCTATCGTAATGGGCATCTCCCGTAAAAGGAACAATCTTAACTTTTGTTTTTCATGCTTTGAATTAATGCCAGGTTATTAAAGATAGAATGACTTGAAAGTTCATTTTGTGTGTGGTTGGAGGAAAAGATGGGGGGGAGGGTCGTACCGTTGGCAGCACAGGGCCACTTGAGAAACATCTTAAGTAGTAGTGCCTCGCCATGAAAGGCTGAGAAAGACTCCTACAAGGGTCAGCATTCACTGAAAACATACTCTAGTCCCTGAAGTCAATTGTGGCCTCTTTAATATTCTCAATTCCTCAAAGGCCAAAAGACTGAATTGTGAAGTTAGGGAACTGGTATCGTTTCCCCTTTGTTCTGTAAGGAGTAAAGGCACTCATGGTGTTTAGTCCCCTGTTTTTCTCATTTTTATGGATGTGAAGGTGAAGGTCCTTTTTTTGTTTTTTTTTTTGGTTTTTCGAGACAGGGTTTCTCTGTAGCTTTAGAGGTTGTCCTGGAACTAGCTCTTGTAGACCAGGCTGGCCTCGAACTCACAGAGATTCACCTACCTCTGCCTTCCGTGTGCTGGGATTAAAGGCGTGCGCCACCACCGCCCGGCTAAGGTGAAGCTCCTTAATAATTATACAGGGTTTGTTCAGCTGTTATAAGTAGGCATGCCATTGACCAAGCTTACTGTCACTTTTTTTCTCTCTCGTTAACTTGCATATAATACTCCTACATTTTATATTCTCTTTGGCAGCCAAAAGCTATGTGTAATAATGCCCCCACAGATCTTAATTTTGAAGAGTTATGAGAGCTTCAAGAACAGATTTTTGTTGTTTTTCGATCTAGTGTTGTGTGTGTATGGAATAGAGTTTTAGGACTTCTGCCACTGCCATGGAAACAGCATAAGTGATTGATTGATTGATTGATTGATTGAGACTAGAGTTTTTTTGTGTAGCTCTGGCTGTCCTGGAATTCTGGTCTGTAGACCAGGTTGCCCTCTGCCTCCCCTGTGCTGGGAGTAAAGGTGTGTGCCACCCCCGCCCAGCTCATAGCTAGCCTTGAACGCAGAGAGATCTGCTTCCTTCTGTCTCTCAAGTGCTGGGATTAAAGTTATGTGTCACTATACCCAGCAACCTAAGTGATTTTATTGTTTTGTTTTGGCTTTTTATTTTCTTTATTTATTTTTTTGGTTTTTCGAGACAGGGTTTGTAAAGGAGACTGTAGTACAGGAGACTGTAGTTTTAGAGCCTGTCCTGGAACTAGCTCTTTTTTTTAAAAAAGATTTATTTTTATTTATTATATATACAGTGTTCTGTCTGCTTGTATCCCTGCAGGCCAGAAGAGGGCACAAGATCTCATTATAGATGGTTGTGAACCACCATGTGGTTTCTGGGAATTGAACTCAGAACCTGTGGAAGAGCAGCCAGTGCTCTTAAGCTCTGAGCCATCTCTCTAGCCCTAGACCAGATCCACCTGCCTCTGCCTCCCAAGTGCTGGGATTAAAGGCGTGTACCACCATCGCTGGGCTGATTTTTGTTTTTTCAAGACTGCGTTTCTCTGTGTAGCTTTGGCCGTCCTGGAACTCGCTCTGTAGACTAGGCTGACCCGAATCCACCTGCTTCTGCCTCCTTAGTACTGAGATCAAAGACTTAATACCACCGCAATTGGCTAACCCAAGTGGGTTTTGTTTTGTTTTTGTTTTTCGAGACAGGGTTTCTCTGTGAAGTTTTGGAGCCTGTCCTGGAACTTGCTCTGTAGATCAGGCTAGTCCTGAACTCACAGATCCGCCTGCCTCTGTCCCAGAATGCTGGGATTAAAGGCGTGTGCCACTACCACCCCACCTGGCTTATGATTTTTAATTATATTATTTTGTATTAGAATGATGGTGAAGTAAAATATTATATTCAAGCATTCGAGAAATGCTAATTGGCCTCTTCTTTTCCTTGTTAAGTTAACCAGCTATCAGTCTCTCATTCCTGGATTGTGACATTGGATCTGAATGGATTTATGCTTATTGCCACGAATTTTTTTAAAGAAGTATTTATGACTGATGGGGTAAAAGATTGTCAGCAATCTCAACTAGAAATTAACCCTAAAACAGTGAAAGTTATATGACGTACATGTCCTCATGTGACAGTCATGTCCTGATTGTCAGTAGGGTTAATAATGACAGTTGTGTTGGACTGGAGGCTCTCTCGACAGGAGCCAATCCACGTGTTTTGCCTGCATGTATATATGTGTGCCACATTTGTTTCAGGTGCCCACCGAGACAGAGAGGGCATTGGATCCCCTGAAACTGGAGTTAGAGATGGTTGTCAGTGGCCATGTGGGTGCTGAGAACAGAACCTGGGTCCTCTGCTGAGCAATCTCTCCAGCCCCAGTGCCAGTTTTTAAACATTAGGGATACTATTCTGCATTCTTGCTGAGTAGTCATATAGGTAGAAAAAGTTCAGGATTGCTCTTGACTGTTGGTGTTGAAAGAAAAAAAAAGTCATTTGATGTATCTACCTTAACAGAAGACAGGTGCTTTCAGGTAAGTAGTAGGTCTGCTAAAACCAAAAAAAAAAAAAAATATATATATATATATAATATATAAACATACACGTATATACATATATATGTATATTTGTGTGTGTGTGTATTTAAAGAAAAAACTATATAAATATATATATTATATATAAATATAATATATATTTATATTGTCATTGAACCTGGGTCCTCAGCAAGAGCATCAAGTGCTCTAAACTGCCAAGCCATCTAGAGCCAAAAGTTATCTAAATTTGCTGTTTAGATTTAAAAATATATACATATGTATTTTAAATCTATATTGGGTATATGGGTATTTTACCCATAATATGGGTATTATGTGTCTATGCATATGTGTGTTGGTACCCACCAAAGTCAGAAGAGGGTGTCAGATTCCCTGGGACTAGAGTTAGACAGTGATAGGCTTTATGTGGCTGCTGGGATAGAACTCAGGTCCTCTGGAAGAACCCCTGTCTCCAGCCCCCACCACTACATTTTGAGTTCTGGGATAACAGGTGTGTATTACCACTTCTGGCTTATGGTGGGGATTGAACCCAGAGTTTGTATGCTAGGCGAGGACTCTATTAATCCTGTGCCCAACCCTGGAAGTTTTTTCTCTCCTTCCTTTCTTCCTTCCTGTTTTTGTTCTTCACATAGCACTGGCTGCCCTGGATTGCAGTTTGTAGACCAGGCTGGCCTTGAACTCAGACAAATCTGCCTGCCTCTGCCTTCTGAGCCTGCCCCACCACGCCCAGCTCCACTAAGTCAGTGAAATCTGGTAGGAGGTGTCTTCCTTTTTTTTTTTTTTCCAGTATTGGATACAAGTCTGTCCTTAGGGGTGGGAAAGTTAGCATCTTTAGTATTCTATGCCACCTGCTGTGCAGACCATAATAAAAGACTAACCTGGAAGAGAGAAGGAAACTCGTGAATCTAGCAGGGACTGAAAAGATCCCCTGATATTAACATCCGAGACATACATTTAGGGAGCTCGAGTATCAGTGTTTGCAGGAAGAAAGAAGAGCTGCAAGAGTAGTGCATATATAAGGAGATGCAAAAAAGACTGCATATGACAGCAAAAATGCCAGCATGCCTTTTTAAGGCCTGTGAAGTTTGAACTGCAAGCCTGCCTTAGAAAGTAGCTCCCCAGGGGGCTGGCGATGGCTCCAGGGCTTCTGACGTACTCACACAAACCTACCTGCTGGTAAAACAATGAGCATAAATTTAAAAAGAAAGTAGATCCCTGAGGAGATGGATGTCTTTTCTTCAAAAACCACTGTAAGTTTGAATCAAAAGCCATGGGCTATATAAAGAATCCCCAGTTGGGCATGCTGGCTCAGGCTTGTCGTACTAGCATAGAGGTTTGAGGATCCCTGTGAGTTCCACACAAGCTTGGGCTGTACAGCTGATCAGGAAACAGGTTGTATGTAACATTAGGTAGAGTGGTTTTCTAATATTCACAAAGACATACAGAAGATCAGGTTTGGTGATAATTCCAGCACTTGGGAGGTGCTATATAGAGAGTCTGAGAACAGCCTACATGGAGCCAGTGCTACATGAAACCTGGTCTCACATTGTCTCCAAAGATAAAAAGAGCTTTGGTAAACAAAGGTGCATCATGCCACGCCTGTAGATCTGGGTTCAGTCCCTGGACCCATATGTAGAAGAACTCACGTACGTATGAGTGTGTGTCCCCAAAAATGTACGTTTTTTTTTTTTTAAAAAAAATAGAAGTTTTTAACCCTACCTCCATCCCCCACTGATGAAGATAGAATTCTAGGACTTTGGATATGCCAATTTTTGTCATAAAGCTAATACAGTTTTATATTTTAATGGGACTTTCATTTTATTTGCAGGCTTTTGGTTTGGTTTGGTTTTTCAAGACAGTTTCTCTGTGGAGCCGTGGAGCCTGCCCTGGAACTTGTTCTGTAGACCAGGCTGGCCTCAGACTCACAGAGGAGATCTTCCTGCCTCTGACTCCCAAATGCTTTGATTAAAGAGTGCTTTGATTAAAGGCGTGTGACTCCACCACCTGGCTAGACCGGGAATTGTTATTTGATCAAGGAGGATTTCTAGACCCAAGAATTAAGACGGTTCTGATCCATGACTTTATTTTTTTTTTTAATATAAAATCTCTTCTATGTGTCTAAGTACACCACTTCTTTGTCTTGTCTTCAGAAGTCAGATTCCCTGGAACTGGAGCTACAGGCAGTTATGAGCCACATCATTTGAGAGCTGGGACCCGAACTAGCTAAATGCTCCTAACTGCTGAGTGGTCTCTCTTACCCCTGATCATTATTAAACATGCCGATTTAATTATTCGTACCAAAGAGGAACCAAGGACCCGGGCAAGGCTCTAGCTAGTTTCTGCATATTGATTAAAAAAAAATAACCTCGATGCACTAAAGACTAAACACTAGTTGACAGTAAAGTAGGTCAGACACTAGAAATGGAGTAAAACAGATAACTCAATGTCTTCTCCATGTCTATATAGTTCTCTTTCACGGAAGTTCAAGCCTGGCTTGTGATTTTTCAAAGGGACAGGAGCAAGAAGCGGGAAAGTAGCCTACACTGAAGATGAAGATACAGGTGTTTCAGAAAAGATATCTGAAATTTTAAACTGAGGGTCCCATCTAAGTCGTAGTGGGGGATTTGGGTGCCAGAAAGTTAAGGTTTCCAGAGATATTCTAATTAAAGATGACCTTTGCGGTCCCGGGATAAATGGGTACTGAGTGCCTCTGAGCGGCATCCAGATTCCGTGCAGCATAAGTGAAAAAAGCATCCCAACACACACGTTCAGGCCCCGGGGCGGACTGCAGTTCCCGTCGTGCTCCACGTGCGAGCCGCCGGCCCGCGCAGGCGCGGTGCACGCTGCCTCGGCTCTGCAGACTCCGGGTGGGGCTGCTGGTGCCCGCGGGACGGCGCCGCCCTCCTGCTGCTCCCCAGACACCTCCGGACGGTTAACCTCGAATGAGGAACGAGCGGGGCGGGAAGGGGAGGGCTGCGGCGGCGCGGGCACAGCCCGCCGCGCCCGGGGCTGGGGGCGGCGAGGTCACGTAACGGCCTCGGGCGTCTGCCGGGGAGGGGGCCTCCTGCGCGCCGCGGCTCCGAAACAGTTAGCGGCTAGTAAACAACAGCTGCGCGCGCACCCGCATCAGCTGGCGCGGGATCCCGCACCTGCGACCGACCTCCTCCTTCCTAGCCGGGACCAGCCTGCGTGGCCGTCTTCTCGGCTGAGCCCCAAGGAAAACCGGCGAGAGGCCACCCGCATCAGCCCCGGGGAAAACGCGTCCTGTCACACGCCGCGCAAACGCGGCAAGTGGTCGTGGGCTCGAGGGACTCGCGACGACCTGCCACGACCCGGAGCTGCCGTAGGAGCTGCTCTGATCCGCTAGCCGCCACCTCCAGCATCTCTGCCAGGACGAGATCTCTGGGAGACAGAAATCCACTCTGCCCCGGCATCCTCTCCTTGCTCTTCTCTTTCTCTCCATCCTGTAGTGTGGGGGGTATTTTTCCCGTTATGCATGTGCATCTCTCCCACCAGACCCAAGTGGATTGTCGACCTCAGAAACATCGAGTGGCTCAACACACACCTCCTCCCAGCCAGACCTGTGGGGTATTCACCTGATACACAACAGGTGGCCAGTGCACATCTTTTTGTAATCTGATCCACGCTGTCTATAGTCTCCTGATAAGGGTGGGCCTGCACGCTCCTTCCTCAGCTAGAACCGTGGGATACTCAGCAGATAAAGGACTAACTACCTCATCAGGACCCGGGGGTCGAGCAGAGGGAGGCCGAAACCAGCTGCTGTGAAATCATGGCGTGGAGCCCTCAGCCCTGGACCAGGGGAGATAGCTAGGATCCTGAAGGAACCAAGTTACAGAAGATTAGCATCGTTTTGTTCTCATTTTGTTTTCCAAAAATTATTTTTCAGTTACGGGTTGTGCACTTTATAAAACAGTTGGCTTGAATTCTAAGTGGAAGGATTCTTAATTGGGTTTTTGTGGGATGTAAATCAAGGTAATTGAGTTCTTTTTTTCCTTTCAAGTTTTCTATTTTTGCAATCAAAAGTAGCTAGTGTAGGAGGAAGAGTTTTTGTGAGCTTTTCCTTTTTTCTTTGTCAAAAAGGGGGAAAATGCATCCTCCAGAAGCCACCGCCAAGATATCTTCAGTTCGGTTCATGGTGACACCAACAAAGATTGATGACATTCCAGGTTTGTCAGACACCAGCCCGGACCTCAGCTCGCGATCTAGTTCCCGAGTAAGATTTAGCTCCCGAGAAAGTGTGCCAGAAACAAGCCGTAGTGAGCCTATGAGTGAACTGTCTGGCGCCACTACTTCTCTGGCAACTGTGGCCCTAGATCCTTCCAGTGACCGGATTTCTAACCCCCAGGATGTTACTGAGGGTAAGTAAGAACCCGGACGACAGGGTGTTTGACCCCTGGGTTGTTCATGCAGGATAACTACTTGCTCCGTTTCATAATAATCACCATGCATTAAGGCCCTCTTTTCTGTGATGCTTAGGAGCCTGGGAAAAATAGTGACCTAGCATGTCACGGCTGTAGTCATTGGCATTTAGGGAAGTATCTGACAAGAAGGCGAGGAAAGGCATATTTTGATTTCCTCATTTTTATCTTCCCATAATTACAGTGACTAGTTTTGGTTAAAGACAAATAACAAAGAATTAAATCGCTTACAACACAGAGAATCCTAAACTGTACCATTTAATGGGCTGAATATGTGCTTTCTAGACAGCTTTGGGACTTTGACTCTGTCAGACGGCATTTAAGTCAGGTTGCAAGGCATAACTGCTTATGTCTTAGTGGCTTCTTCCAGACACTTAGCTGTGCGCCATATTTTTAAATTTGTGTTTTTACAGAGTGTTTAAAGTAGCCAAGTTCCCTCCAGGAGATGCTATTCCGTTGAGTGGAACTTGCAAAGAGGCTTCTAGTGCCTGATTTTCACATCGCTTCACTGCTGAGCCTTAGACAAACTCTTCTGTATTTTTCTGGGCTGTGGTAGTCAGGACGTAAAGGAACCACTTCTGCTCATTTTGACTGCTTCCCAGAGTTGATCTTGAACTTCCCAGGCTGGCTTCTGGTCGAAGTTTTCACTGGGTTTAGTGGGAAGGGGTGATGCGAAGGAGGTGAGGTACCCTTTCCAGACTCAAGAACAAAGTTGGAAAATTGCCTTAGTCTTATGCCACATCCTGACCAGTGTAATTTTTCTAGTTAAAAAAAATGCCTTAAGAATTCTAAAGACTCTTAAAAATTCTGTCCTACCCTCGTTGAAAACATGGCCTTGGCCACTGACTTGTGAAAACGAGAGTGACTAGCCATTTCCGGCCTCAGGAAGTACTGCTCCTCCTGACCTTAAGTGTTCCGGAAGCCAGAACAGTTTTAGTTCCTCAGTTTTGTTTTTAAAGTCTTGAGACAAGATATCCTTGGTAAAGCTTATAGTTCTAGCACTTGTTAGGCCTTCACTAGTCCTTTTTTCTTTCATGGCAGTTATTTGTGTTAATTCCTGATTTGCTTTCCACTGCTTGCTGACCCTTACACTATGTTAAAGTTAAAAGTCGGAATAAAAGACAATAATTTCCTCCTATGCCAAATTTTTTGTTTGTTTGCTTATTTTTTATTTTTGTGACAGGATCTCAGGTAACTCAGCCTGGCCTTAAACTTTCCATGTGGTCAAGGATGGGCCTGAACCCCTGATCTCCGGCCTCCACCTCCAATGTGCTGAGATTAAAGGCCTTCTCAACCACACCCATGTGTGAGGGTGTGTGTGATGCTGGGGATGGAACTCAGGGCCTCTCGTGCACTCTCTCAGCTGAGCTGCATCCCCAACTTGTACCAAATACTTCCAAATTATAGTTTTAGTCTTAATGCATCACACTATATTTAAATTGTTTAAAATGCCAGCTCAAAACTGCAGTCTGGATAAGTCCCTTCCAGGAATTCTGATACCTTTTCTGAGTCAGTCCTGCATCCTAGTCAATGAAATCAGGCCTTGCATCCTTACATCCCTACTCTAGACCATGACTACAGTACCTCCATCACTTTATCTTTCCCAATCAGACTGGAAAGTTCTTGAGGACAGTTTCTGCACCTAGTGTAATGTGTGATACTCAATAATGAGTTGAATCTCCAGACGTAGCCATAGGAGCTAAAAAGATAAGGTGATAAAAGGAGATGAAAGACAGCTTTTGACCCAGGGAAGTGTCTTCTGATGTGTAGTGGAACTAGCTAGAGCTTTGGTTCTCAACCTGTCATGACCCCTGGAGGATGTCAAAAGACCTTTTACAGGAGTTGCCTAAGACTTTCAGAAAACACAGATATTTACAATTCAAACAGTAACAAAATTACAGTTATGAAATAGCAGTAAAAATAATTTTATGATTGGGGGGGTCACCAGACATGAGGACCTGTTAATTAAAGAATCTAGGCATTAGGAAATTTGAGAACCACTGATCTAGAGAATTGTTTTAAATGTTTCTGCCCTAGTCCCATTCCTATAGATTGTTTTATGTCAATATTAAAAAAAAAATAACTGGAGCTGGAGAGACGGCTCAGCAGTTAAAAGCACTGGCTTCTCTTCCAGAAGTCCCACGTTCAGTTCCCAGCACCCACATGGCAGCTCACAACTGTCTGTAACCCCAGTTCCAGGAAATCTGATAGTTTCACATCAATGCACATAAAATGAAGTTAAATCAATTAAAAAACAAAACAAAACAGCCGGTTCATCAGCTGGTTCAGTTATGAAGCCAGTGCTGACCATAGCTCAAAGGGGAAGAATGACTAATACCACACACGTGGAAAACACTTTCATATCTGAGTTGGCATTTGAAAGGTCAACCAAAGGGCACCAAGTCACATCTAGGTTTCTCTTAATTGTTAAAGAATAGTACAGAATATTAATCTGTACTTGGAATCACTACATTGCATACGGAGTGCAGTGGCTGGGTATATCCCTACCCATTTGCTCTCCCAGTTCTGTGCTGTGTATGAATAGGTCTCCTCCAATCCTTAGTGTGAGGGCTAAAGCAGAGTAGGAAACTTGGAAGGTGGTGTGTTTTGCTTTTCATAGGGCTGTGGTTTTAAAATGCCCAGCACTTTTTTGTTTGTTTTTCCGACAAAGTTTCACTAAGTAACGCTAGCTGACCTAAAACTGGCTGTGTAGACCATGCTAGCCTTGAACTCACAGAGTAGTCTGCCTTTGCCTCCTGAGTGCTGGTATTAAAAGGTGTGCCACCATTCCTAGCTTCACAAAGCACTTGAAGAAAATACTTTTCAAATAAACATTGTCTGTGCTCCCTACCAAAGCCAAAACAAATGAATTTCATTGTATGTGCTCTTCTTAGACGTCCTGTTAATGCTTACCAACTAACTACCTCCCATATTTTACTTTGACTCCTTTTGTGACATTATGTAAGGAAGTAAAATGGATAGTTTATGAAAATATTGATTTGGTAACCTTTTAGCTTGCTTGATAGCGTTCTCTGATAAAAAGACATTTTGTTATCATATATCCAAAACATTTACGTGGGATTATGTATATATATATATATGTATGTGTAAATGTGGGCATGGGCATGAAGAGGTCAAAGGTCACATTGTCTTCCTCTACCCTTTTTAAAACGGTCTCTTCCTGTACCTGGAGCTTGCCTATTCAGCCAGGCCGACTGACTGGCCAGCAAGCCCCAAGAATCATCCTGTTTCTGTTTCTGCAGAATTGATATCATAGACACATGATGATGCTGTACCCAGCTTTTTTGTGAGCATTGGGGGATCTAAGCTCCAGTGTTTGTTTGTGCTGGGCGAGCACTTTGTGACTGATCCATCTCCCTGGCCTTCCCAACAACTGTTTTCCTCCTTCTCTTCCTACCCTATATTAATGGTAACTTTATAGCATTCTGCCTCCTCCTTGCTTATGGAATACTTCTTAGGTACCTTTGTCCCTAAAACTCATAGAATTCTCAGGACAGCTCACAGAAGTGCGATGTGCGGACTGTAATCAGTGAGTCAACTAAAGAAGCAGATTTGCTACATCTTATTTTAAAACTTGATAATATGCTAATACTACCCTCACCACAAGAGCAATTAGCCATATCCAGAATATGGGAAATTTTATTTAATAACTAGATTCTTCAGAACATAAATGGCAGAGTAGAAGAAGAGTGATAAAGAGGGAAGGTTTTTATAGATTAAAAAGAGCTGTGTCAATCAGATGCAGTGTATAGGTTTGGGTTGACTCGGACTGACCAGAGCAACAATAAAAAGACACTTTTGAGATAATGGGGACTGAGAATGATAGTGTGTGTCTGTAGTCCCAGTACTCAGTACAGTGAGGTAGAAGGATCAGGTGGCCTACAAATAGGCCTCTAGCCCGGACAACACACTCAGACACTGCCTCAAAAACAAAAGTCACAATCATTGAGGGAAGTTGAATGCATGATATTAAAAATATTAAGGAATTACGAATTTTCTTAGATGTGCTTATGTTGTGGTCATGTGAAGGTCTCAGATAAAGAAAACCTGTTGGAGTATTTACAGGTAAGATGAAATGCTCTAGCTTTCTCCCTCTGGCTCCTCACCCCAACACACACACACACACACACACACACACACACACACACACCAAAAAAAGAAAAAAAAAGCTTGAAAAATGTTTATAATTTATTGTTGTCAAACTACCTGAAGAACCATTTTCTATTTTGTCAGCTTTTATCCTATAAATGAACACTATACAAGGATGAGTTGTGCACTCAGAGGCAGAGGCAGGAAGATCACAAGTTCAAGATCATCCTGGGCAACATAGGCCCTTGTCAGGAAAAGCAAGGTCAGGGATACAGCTTAGTGGTAGAGGGTTCACTTCATACTCATAGGCCTTCCCCTTGAGGCTTGACCCAAGACCACTCTCCCCATGGCCCCAAGTTGGTTTAGTTGGGAGCATTTTTTATAACAGAGGCGGTCCTAAAATATGGTAGATGTGGATTAAATGCCATCAGTTGGTAGGTACAGTGATTGTGTTAAATTCTGGTCACCCATCTGTATGTAGTGTTCTCTTTATGTCCCACTAAAAACCCACCTGCTTTTCCTCCCAGTCGCTTGTTTATTGGGTTCAGGCTCTCATATTTTTTTCCTTTTATTGAAAATAGATTCTTTGCTCCTACAATATAATCTGATGTCAACCTTTATTAATGGAAAAGTAAAAGAGGGGAGGATCCTGCTGGAAGTTGGAGGTCTGGAGCCTTAGAAAAATCATGCTTTCTGTTTGAAAGCTGTTAGTATAAGGGGAGTGCTATTTAAGGCAACCTGTAATAACCTACCAGGACATTCCGATGCTGTTATTTAAGGCAACCTACAATGGCCTGTCAGGACAATATTACCCTGTGTGCTTTTGGATC